CCAACACACTCTAGTATAATCTATAAATTAATAATGATGATTATTATAACAGTAATGACGTGCTTGAAGATAGAACTGGACAATAACCACATCTTGTGTATATGAGAATACGTCAAGTGATGTGTTCTGTACAGCTCTAGGTACTATGGAAGATTAATAAACATATTAACATGAAGAAAGTGTATGTACCTCTTTGATATGAGAATGTATCATTATTAGATATTCCTTCTCCTAATTCATTAGCTCCAGTTATAACATATGTATAACAATGAATAAATAAATTATTATCCACAAACTGATAACTGGTATCATATACTGATACATTACTCACTAGACTACCAGTAATAGCATCATATATTCTTAGTATGTAATACAGTATAGGTACTCTATCATCAACTGTAGGAGCAGTCCATGTTATATCAATAGTAGAACAGTTGTCAATTGAAGAGTCAATGTTAGTAACTGGACCAAGAAAACCTAATGTATAGGTTGATCAATCAATAATGGTTTCTAAGTTTCTTTAGTTGGGTCAAACTCATTTTGTTTTTTGACTCTATACTCCATGTCTTTGGTTTTTTGGAGCTTAAAGAACAAACAAAATGAAGTTTGGCCAAACTAAAGAAACCTGCAATACTGTACAAAATAATTGTATACTTACTGAACCCAAAAGAAGACACATTATTAAATGTTCCTCCATTATTACTCAGTGATACATTAACAGTAAATGTATTTAAATTAGATATTGAAGTACTTCCAGAAACAATCATCAGTTGATCATTAACTTGTGTTGCTATACTGGTATTGTTTATTACTGCATTAGTAGCATTCAGTATATTAACAGGTATACTATTAGGATACTCTCCTTTACATAATGCACTGACCTATGAATGAGTGTGTGGGAATAAGGTGAACTGAAGTTATGCAAGCCTCTTATGGCAAATATACTTACATCAATACTGATATTCAATGATATTAGTTGTCCATCAATTACTGGTACCACTGATATAGGAGGAGTAATGAGAGGAACTGAAAGATACACTGTGAGCATATACATGAAGCCATAGTAATGCTAACCTGCTTCATAATAAAAACTGATATTATTAGATGAACCTATTCCAACATCATTAATAGGAGAAACTGATACATTATTTAATATACAAGGATCAGGATTAGTAGCTGATAATATAATACTCTTGTTAGTAGTAGTAATGTTCACTAATCCATTGACTATATAGTATCCAGTGATAGGTACATTATCCAGTGTATAAGGAGCTGTCCATGTTAATAATACACTGGATCCATTAATAAAGGTATAATCCAGATCAACAACACTAGCCAATAGACCTAAAGAAGTGACTAATGACACAATTAAACTGATACATTACTATACCTTGTATTGTTAGTGTAGCATTGTTACTTCTGATATTACTAGGAGCACCAAAACAATACACATAAGTATTATTATTAATTTCTCTTGCATGAACTGATAGCTGTCTTCTTCTTATAGTTCCATTAATAGTGTCTTGATTAAATTCAATAAATCCTCTTTTAACGTTGACAGTTTCAGATGCTGGTGTTTCACCAACATAAAAGAATAGTAACGAAACTCCAGTTGCTTCACAAGTAAAGGTCACAGTTGAATTGAGACTTGTATTCACTGATACTGGCTGAGTTATATATTCTGCTTGACAATATCTTATTAGGAATCCAAAAATAACGGTAAAGAGCATCTCAAACACGTCTCAACAAGCAAATGCGAGCCCAAAATTAGAGCTACATGATTGTATAGGGCGTGGCTTACTGGCGCCGCGCGCACAGCAAGCGAAGATGTTGCTGCAGTCATGTTGTTCTGTTTTATGTTTTTCGCTGTATTTAGTCATTCTTTCTTCAATCTGTACTGAGGCAGGTATGTTATAATCTTGTAAAATAACCATCTGTAAGGTTCTGTTTTTTCTTTATATTATAAACCATCATAATATGCTTTTATTAGTTTTAATTACTTTAAGAGGCTTCTCTATAGCATCAGAAGTTGTGGGTGCATCAGTGCAGACTACTCTAGCTGCATAATGAGTGCATTTTCTATTATTTTATTAATTGGTTGACTCATTTAGTGGGTGCATTTTGGTCAATCATGGGTGCCAATTGATGCACCCCCTCTGTCTTAACAATTCATAGGCGTTTTTAAAATTTGCTTATATCATTGGTTATTGTATTATACATGGCAAAATATAATCACGTTGATCAGGCCTGAATTTCCCTTAAGCCAGGCCTGATATCAGGCCTGGATCATGGATTTTGGGCAATCAGTCCTGATACAATCATGGAGTCAGCCACAGTACAGGCATAGATACAATATCTATGGTACAGGCATGACAAGCATTTTATACTGGATCAGGCCAGACTGACTTTCATGATCCAGCAATGATAGCCAACAGGGCTGTACCAGTGCTTGATTCATTAATTTTGGGCATTTCTGAATTAGGCCTGAAAATATTTGGCTGTGTACACAATATTGTAACAGTGGGAGGACTGTTAACCACAATCACTGTTGGCCACAATAAATTTAACACACGCCTATAAACTGTTACAAGTGTTTATTTTAGCACCTGAGTGAAGCTAATGCAATTAATAGTTGAAGTATGAATAATTAATTAAGTGCCCTAGTAGCTAGATATGTCTAAGCTTAACATTAAGTATATTGCTGCATGAATGCATGGGTATTCAGCGGCGTAGACAGGGAGGAGCAAGGGGGCAAATGCTCCTCCCCTTTTTAAAATCAAAATTTTAAATTAACAAAATGGCTGCCCTTTCAGTGGCCACTACTTTGCTTTGGCATACTTCTCCCGCAAATACTGGCTCTCAAAACATCCTAATAAGGTCAGGTTCTTCTGAGAATTAACTACAAAACAATTAAAGCATGGTTCCGTCGTGCTCTATTGGATTTATCCGCACTCGCTTCCGGTCTCGTTGCTAAAAATAGAGCACTTGGCCTTTGGCCTCATGCTCTATTTTTAGCAACTCGACCGGAAGCTTGTGCGGATAAATCCAATAGAGCACTCCAACCCATGCTTTAACTAATACATATTTCTAGAATATATAACTCAGCCAGTATCATTGAATACAAGTCTCAACTCGACTGTGACCTTTACTTGTGAAGCAACTGGAGCTTCTTTTGTATTCTTTTATGTTGGGGAAAAACCAGCAGCTGAAACTGTCAACGCTAACAGAGGATTTACTCAATTAAGTCAAGACACTATTAATGGAACTATAAAAAGAAGACAGCTATCAGTTCATGCAAGAGAAATTAATAATAATACTTATGTGTATTGTTTTGGTGCTCCTAGTAATATCAGAAGTAACAATGCTACACTAACAATACAAGGTATAGTAATGTATCAGTTTAATTGTGTCATTAGTCACTTCTTTAGGTCTATTGGCTAGTGTTGTTGATCTGGATTATACCTTTATTAATGGATCCAGAGTATTATTAACATGGACAGCTCCTTATACACTGGATAATGTACCTATCACTGGATACTATATAGTCAATGGATTAGTGAACATTACTACTACTAACAAGAGTATTATATTATCAGCTACTAATCCTGATCCTTGTATATTGAATAATGTATCAGTTTCTCCTATTAATGATGTTGGAATAGGTTCATCTAATAATATTAGTTTTTATTATAATATTACAGGTTAGCATTACTATGGCTTCATGTATATGCTCACAGTGTATCTTTCAGTTCCTCTCATTACTCCTCCTGTATCAGTGGTACCAGTAATTGATGGACAACTAATATCATTGAATATCAGTATTAATGTGAGTTTGTTTTATTTTGTTGTGCATGGCAAATGTACCTTAGGGTGAGTTGTTACAATAGAGGGTCAATCACATGTTTCGTGTATAATTATTTTCCACAATGTAAAATTATTTTCTACCACAAATAACTGCCCCATGGGATTTACTCAGTGTCTGTTATTTATCTGTCTCTTATCCCAAATCTCACTTTTAGCTTTACAACCATAGCTTCTTTTAAAACAAACATAGCTCATGCTTATACATTTTTTGGTTCTTTTGGTTGTGAGGTATAGTCTCTTAAACTCAAATCAGGGCCCAAGTCATATTTTTCAAGTGTCTGTTGCCGCTACTTAAAGTACAAAACTTGTTCATTTTGTATTATTCTAAGTCTTGGTAAGTACATATGACAATTTTAGCCAATTGAAAAAGGGTAAATTTGAGGGCAGTCACTGGATAGGTTAAGGAAAGCCAATGGAAGGTTGGTTTCATTGCATTTTGGTATGAACAGTGTTGGATCATTAGTATAGTTTGAGGCATGCATACATGCTTATAATTCATTGCTTCACCACATACATAATTATTTATTTCTTACTGCCTTAGGTCACTGAGTTATGTGAAAGAGAGTATCCCAATAGTATAACTATTGTCATACTGAATATTAATAATGAGATACAAGATAGTGCCAGCACACTGCCAACACAAGTTAATGGTCAACTGATGATTACTGGAGTAATAACTGTACCTAATAATTTAAATACATTTACTGTTAATGTATCACTGAGTAATAATGGAGGAGAATTTCCACTTACACCTTCTTTTGTATTTGGTAAATAAATAATATTTCCCTTTTAAAATGTTCATTTGATTACTTTATTATATAGGTATCATTGGTCCAGTTACTGACATTGACTCTTCAATTGACAACTGTTCTACTATTGATATAACATGGACTGCTCCTACAGTTGATGATAGAGTATCTATACTGTACTATAATCTCAGTATACATGATGACATAACTGATCAGTTCTTAAGGAGTGTATCAGTATATGATACCAGTTATCAGTTTGTGGATAATAATTTATTTATTCATTGTTATACATATGTTATAACTGGAGCTAATGAATTAGGAGAAGGAATATCTAATAATGATACATTCTCATATCAAAGAGGTACATACACTTTCTTCATGTTAATATGTTTATTAATCTTCCATAGTACCTAGAGCTGTACAGAACACATCACTTGACGTATTCTCATATACACAAGATGTGGTTATTGTCCAGTTCTATCTTCAAGCACGTCATTACTGTTATAATAATCATCATTATTAATTTATAGATTATACTAGAGTGTGTTGGTGAAGCTCCTGAACATGTTACAGTTACTGTACAGTGTAATGGAACTGATAGCAGTACAACTTACCAAATAAGGAATATGAATGATATAACAGGATTAATATCAGTCCCTCAGTATCAACAGTGTAATATCAGTATTGTATTTAGTAATGAGGCTGGTAGTAGTGAACCATTTATACTAACATTTGGTGAGCTAGTATGGTGTTTACATTACATATCTATAGTATTATATATTAGCAGATACATACCCTCCTTCTCCTAACAATATTAATAACACTTACATCACTATTGTCACTAGTACTACTGTACAAACATCTCCTACCATGACACTTGTTTCAGCAACTCCTAATGTCAGTACTGGTTAGTTGACATATAAATAATACACATTATATATTTGTTATTATAGTTATCACTGCCACAACACTTGGCTTTGTTATTATACTATTACTACTGATAATAATGAGTCTCACGGTGCTTGTTGTTACATATAAAAGGAAGTTAAACAGTAAGTATATGTACTGTTTATCATTAATCATTAATTATAGGGTCTGCCTTACAGCAACAACAAGAGGTACCTACTGCACCTAATGAAGCATATGAATTCAACACTTTCATGATTGATAATAATAATAATCCTGCTTATGGAGAGATAAGAGGAAACAGAGGAGGAGCAGTTAACATGTGAATCATTTGTAATAATAATTGTAAAACACATTTTAGTGACTAAAATTAAAGATGTGTGTTTGTGTATAGCTTTGGTTAATTAATTCATTTCAAGAAATTGTGACTAGTCTAGATCTGCATTAATATTTTTATTAAATCATTAAAAACTGTATTTATTTTTTTGCAGAAAAGGGTATTTTCTCAAATCAGCATATTTTGTCAGATGGTCTATTTCAAAAAAATTCTATTAATCTGAATTGGCCAAAACTTTAATATCAAAAAAATGTAATAAAATTGGGGGTGATTCAAGAGCCAATTTTTGAAAAAAAAACCATCGGCAGGGAAATTTTCAGAAATAGGATTGTTTTTTAAAAATGGCCTTAACTTGGCTCAAACTTTCTACACAGCATAAGTACATCAATATGTATCAGAAAATGTAATAAAAATTGGGGGTGATTTCGGAGCCATTTTTTGAAAAAAACCATGGGCTAGTATAGTACAGGGAAGATGGTTCTTCATTAGTGCATGCCTACACAAACATACTTTTAATACATTTTATGTCAAGATACGGATGTACTGAGTTAAAAGTTTTGCATTAAGTTTGTCATTAAAAATAAAATGCAATTATTAACAAAAATAATGATATTAATATGCATAGAGGTTTCTGCATGTATACAATATATCATGTTTAGTAATAATAATAATATACGACTAACTAGTTCTCTTCTTCTTTTTGAATATGTTAAATAATCGTCCGGTCCCTTTTCCCTTTTCCTCTGTCCCTCCCAATCCTTTTGAAGCCACGCCCCATAGACACTCCTCCAGAATCCGATGACAGAAATCAAACTGTCTCTGATTGGCTACGAGCCC